TCATCGGGGTGTGAGAAAGTAGAAGGGTTAAGGGGTTTTTTTTTGGGTATTTAGGAGCATTTTTAGGAAGTTTTGGCTTTAGATCTAGGCTGGAGAGGACGGATCGGAGCGAAAGGTTTATTTCTGGGTTGATTTAGGGCTTTTGACCATCGTGTGTGGTGGCTGGAGTCAGGGTAAGACGGCCAGCTGTGAGCCGGACGAAGAGAAAAGAAGAGAGAGAATAGAACTTTTTAGTTTTTTTTTAAATCGGGTGAAAATGAAAAAAAGAGTTAAAATTGTATTTATAGAAAACTCAGGGGAAATCACGCTTAGGTCCCCCTAACTTGAACGTGATTTTACAAAATAATCACTTGTAGAGGTTGAAATTGATATTTACCCATTTCCATGTATGCTTTATAATTTTTAAGGTTATTTTCTGTTTAGTCCCTCCATGTTTAACTTATTTTTACATTTTGGTCATATGTAGTGAAGGTTTAATTCTTTAAAATATTTCTAGACTTGATTAGGTAATTTACCCATTTTTATTCAAAAACATGTTTTAAGATTTTAAAAGAGGAATACTTGTGAAATGGTCCCTGTGGTTTCTGCATGTTTATATTTCAAACTGTAATATATTTTTTATTTAATTTAATTTGGCCATGTAATTTTATTTTATTTTAATTTGGTCCCCATGTTTTATTTATTTTTATTCTTTGTAATTTTAGCACTTAATATTAAAAATGTTCATTTTAGTCACTTTTGCATTTTATTTTGTTTTAATTTTTGACGTGATGTTTTGTTTGTTTTTATTTTAGTCATATTTACATTTTGTTTTATTTTATTTTTTGTAAGCTGATTGTATATTATTTCATTTTAGTCATTAATTAATTTTGCATGATACCCTCATAAGCATTTCTTGACTCTAATCAAAATAATTTGACTAAAAGTAATATTCGTTCATTTTAATATTGTCATAAAGTTATTGTCTTAACGTATAAGAAAGTTACTTTCAATAATTTTGAAATGAAGTTTATCCCATTTAGTGACAAGAATTAAATCGAATGCATTTTAAAATTTGGGGATTGGGAAAAAGATCATGTTATTTCAATTAAACTCACCGAGAAAAGACTGTTAGATCGAATCTAAGATCTCGTCTCAATGTGTTTAAATAATTGAACATCCTTATTCTCATTAAATATTGTAAAATAAGATTTAATTATACTTGCTTGATGTATGCTTTTAATTTTTTTATTTTTTCATGTGTTTTTCAATAGGATTTCAAAATAGTAACACTCGAATCGATATTGAAAATAGTAATATCTTGTCATTTCGATTAGAGTAATAAATGACTGCTTTAACGTATGAGAAATCATTTATTCTCGATTGGAAATAATTGGATATTATTGTTTACTTTCGAATTAATATTGAATTTTAAGATGAAATAGTGATATCTTCTCATTTCGATTGGAGTAATAAATGACTGCTTTAAGCCATGAGAGGTCATTTATTCTCGATTGGAAGTAATTAGATATTATCGTTTTCTCCCTTAAAATTATTTTTGTGTTGTTATTTTGAATTAATAATGAACTTTAGAATGTAATTATAATATTTCCTTATTTCGATTGTTGTAAGATTCGTTTATTCTAAGGTATAGAAGATCGATTCTTCTCAATAGGAAATAATTAAATATTATTGTGTTTTGTCCTGAAATTCAAAAGAATATTACTTGTAGGGGATTTTAAATTAAATTAGACTCGAATTCTTAAGTTTCATTGCAAAGACAACTAATTAATCGACTAGGTACCGATTTAGAGTGATGTGTGGGTGTTAATCCTTCCCCACACGTAACCGACTCCTGAGCACAAATTTTGGTAACGCATACCGCAAATTTGTTGTTTTAATTAAAATGAATGTTTTTTAATGACAAATACTTTTTTGATACCAAATTACACTCTAATCAAATATTGGTGACGATTCATCGAACTACGTTTTATTATTAATCGGCCAAAAAAAATTATTAGAAACGAGAATCCCTCCCTTTCAGAGACCGTTTCGACACTTTTGATTACATAACGTTCTCATCACCCTTACAAAATGTTCTCATCACCCTTACATAATCGTTCCAATCACCAAATATTTGGTAAATTCTTTTGATTAACTTGGCTTCTTTTTTTCTACCCAATAATTAATGTTCTAAATAAGTAAGTGCAATTTACATTAATAATGATGTGATAACTATCATATTTCAGAAGATATTTTTCTTTTTTTTTGGATTTAATTTCTCCACCTCGCAATCCCTTTCTTGCTATGATGGGATACATGTGCAAATATAAGGTCATTTTATTTGAAAAATATTTTTTGAAAAATTAATTTTATTTTTTAAAAAATATTTTTTAGAAAATGTTTTACGATGTTTAGAAGATATTATTTAAACCCTTTTTTTACTAGTTAATAAATTTTTTTTTAAAATATTTATTACAAATATTAAATACAATAAATAATATTATTTATCATAAAACTTAACATTATTATTTTTAAAATATTATTTTTATAATTTTATTAATAAAAATATTAATATTGGTGTATTTTATTGAAATAAAAATTTATAAATTATATTAATTATTTATTAAAGGAATAGTGTTATATTATTTTTTAAAAATATTAATTTGTATATTTTAAATATCTTTATTAAAATATTATTAGATTATTAGATTAATATTAAATATATAAATAATATAAATTTTATTAATAAATTATTATATATTATTAAAATAAAAATTTAATATCTTATATTATTATAATATAATTTATTATTTTATTATAATATTAAAAATATAATAATATAATTAGAAATATTAATAAAAATATTTTAAATATTTTAATAATTAATATTTTGATTAAAATGATATTAAAATATTTTATTAATATTAAATTCATAAAATAAAATTATTTTGAGTGTTTATTCTTTGAATTGAAAAGTTCAGAAAATGACTTACGGAAAATCAGACCGTAATTCATTTTTCAGAAAACATAAAGGAAATTTTGTTGACCAGGAAAAAATTTTACGTTGACCAACCAGTTTTACTCTAACCAAACACTGAAAAATAAGAAAAATATTTTTCGAAAAATATTTTACGTGAAACAAACGGACCGTATTCAAGTGGGTTGGTAGCCTACTTCAATTTAAGTAGTTACAGATGTGTCCATCATATTTTATTATATTTAAGCACACGCGTAAAATTTAAAAATATCGTTAATTTATTAAATAGTTATTTTATTATATTTAGTATAATTATGGATGTTTACCGACCGAATCGATCATAAGTTAAGCAAAGCTCCATTCAACTTGAAAACTGATCAATTTTTGTTCACGTGACTTGATATTCGATAAGTTTAAGGAAGGGTACATGACCAGGGTCATAATTCAATATTATAATTTAAATTTAATTATTTTTTTATAATTGTAGATTTAAATATATATTTTTTAAAATAAATTTCAATAATTAGATTTATTTAATAATATATTGCATAAATCTTAAAACTATTTTTTATAATAATTTGTGTAATATTTATACAAATGATCTTATTCTAGAATTAAAAGCGTTGAAAACGAATTTGCGAAATAAGTTAATGTCGGCATTTGAAATTCTCAAATTTATCAAAGTTGTGTATTGTTATCCAAATATTTAAATTCCTTATTGAATCCTCTTGACTATGTTAGAGACAATTGCATCTGCTAAAATAAGTTTTTCAAAGTTAAAATTGTTGAAAATTTACTTGAGATCATCAATGTCACAAGAAAGATTGAATGATCTAGTAATTTTATCTATTGAGAAAAATATATTACACTATACTGATGTACACTCTATTATTACTGATTTTATATTTAGAAATTTTGGTAAAAATTATTTTGTGTGAGAAGATTGGTGTTATGAGTTATCTTATTTAAAATTTACGAAATAAGTTAATATCGGCATTTGAAATTCTCAAATTTAATAAAGTTGCGTATTGCTATCCAAATGTTTAAATTGCTTGTTGAATCCTCTTGACTATGTCAGTGACAATTACATATGCTTAAAGAAGTTTTTCAAAGTGATTGTTGAAATTTTACTTGAGATCATCAATGTCACAAGAAAGACTGATAATATATTAGACCATATTGATGTACACACTATTATTAGTGATTTTACATTTAGAAATGTTTGTGGAAAAAGTTTTGTGCGAGTAGTTTGGTGTTTAATAATTTTTTAAAATTATTTCATTTGAAATTGATATATTTATTAGATATTTTATTGAGCATAGTAAAAACTACAATTTATAAATAAATTTATTTATTTTTATTTACTCTTAAAACTTTTTTAAAAAATTCAACCAAAACTCTTATGCGGTCATTACATAAATCTTGGGCTTCAAATATTAAATCCGAGTTTGGGCTTCATTCTCTTAACAAAAATCTGAAACCTTTACTTCAATCGGTCAATAAAGCCCAAGACTTTTTACATGTAGGCCGACTGAATTTTCCTAGGCAATTATGTATGTACACCAAAAGTTGAGCCTTCACTCATGACGCAAGGATGAATGATAAAGAATAAAAGAATACATAGCTTGAAGAAATGGGAATTTCACATGGAGAAATAATGAGATGAAACATTATTATTCCCTTGAGCAGTTCCATTCGTCAAGCAAAAGGAATATTATCTTTCTCACATGGCATGTTTATTAGGGGATTGCTCAACCGAGGTCTAATATTATCTTGAATGATGTATAAATAACTTGGTAGAAATTTGGTTGTACGAATTAGTAGTTAAATTTTTTTGGCGTAGGTTTAGGGAAGGGGGTGGAGTGTTTAGTGTGAAGTAACCACTTGAAAGTGGAGGGTGGGGACTCAAAGCATATTTTGATCTCATTTCTCTCGCTTTTCTGAGTTTGTTTAATGTGGTTTAGGCTTTTACTGAGGGCAAAGAAAAAGTATAAAAAGGGAAGGATGAGGGAATAAATCCTGCATTCCCAAGTTTGAGAAAATGGAAATGAGAAGAGAAGTTAGGGTTGTGTTTGTAGTGGCGGTGTTGTTGATCAGCTGCCGGAGTGGAGCTGACGGAAAGGATGAGTTAGAGAGAGAAAATGGGGTTGTAGGGTGGCCCGATTCTAATTCCACCACTAAGATTTCTAGTGCGAAACATAGTTTTATGGAGGATGTAGAGCACAAAGGCACGAATTCTTCTGTGGAAATTTTAGTCCAAAGCAATAGTAATATTGAACATGCTGGGAAAGGAGGAAAGAAGGGTGGTGGAGGTGGGGGTGGGGGTGGAGGTGGAGGTGGAGGAGGTGGAGGCGGTAGTTGTGGTGGAGGGGGTGGAGGCGGCAGTGGCAACGGCAATGGTCGAGGAAAAGGTAAACCACACAAGAAAAGAAAAGGAAAAGGAGGGGGTGGAGGCGGCAATGGCAATGGTCGAGGAAGAGGCGGTTGTAGCTGTGGTGGTGGTGGTGGTGGTGGTGGTGGTGGGGGAGGGGGAGGGGGTGGAGTTGGAGGTGACTATGGTGGAAGAAACGGTAAACCACACAAGAAAGCAAAAGGAGGTGGAGGTGGTAGTGGTGGTAGAAACCACGAATGGGGTAAAGGAGACGGAAGAGGTGTCGGCGGGAGTGGTTGGAGAGGAAGTGGCAAAGGTGGAGGTTCGGGTCGAGGAGGAGGTAGCGGTGGCGGTGACAACCATGGTGGCACAAGAAAATCAATGGGAGGGAGAACTAAAACTACCTCTCCTCCATAGCCAAACCATGCACATTGAATGGACTAGAAGGAAACAACATTTTGTGCAAAAAAAAGGGTATTATATATCATATTTACCTCTACGTTCTTCATCAACTCAAATAATCAAATTTCCCTGCATTTGTGTGTTCCAGTTTTCTATATTTATTATAGGCTTAATTTTCTGCTTTGTTTAATAATATAAAAGGATTTTGTATTTGTTTGAGAATGCAAACACTACTATAATCTACGTTTTATATTATTAATGAATCTCTTGATTTGGGACAACATAAATGTTCTTAACCAATCGACTTACTAATATATTTTATATTTAATTTTTATTTAGCTAAAAATAATACTTATTATTTATAATTTACTAAATAAATTTTAAAAATATAATATATATATATATATATATATATATATATTAAAATATTCATACACCGCCTAAATTGAATCCAAATTCAAAAGATCATGCAATACGGTCACTGAAATCAAAGAACAATTAAATGTTACGAGTCTTTCATTCACAAAGTACCTGATACCCGAAGCCCTCTTACAAAGAACAAAAGTGGTTGGAACTTGTGGGACATAATTATAAGAGTAAATGATATATTTAGTCATTCAATTATTATTTTAGTTTCGTTTTAATCACTTAATTATTTTTTCAAAATCATAATTAATGTTACATTTTGATCACCCATCGTTAAAAAATTAATAGTGATACTGATGTGTTGCTGTAAGATAATACTACAATATCATTGAAAATTTTTAAAAAAATCGTCACGTTTATAATTATATTTATTTTTTAACGGCTGATAACTAAATGAAACCAAAATGTAATGTTAAGTATGATTTAAAAAAAATGGGTGATCAAATGTACCAAATTACTAAATATATAGTTTACTCGAACTACAGTCATGTTAAGCGAGAGCCATAGGATTGGGTATTGGTGCTCGTCAAGTTCTTTCAGTCTATTGACTGAGGTATACATAAGGTAAAAACACGATCAATATAATATATTTTTACCTTACGCGATAAAAATAATCTTGAAAGTGTGAAAAAAATGAAAATGATATATAAGAGTAAATTAGTAAGCACCACAAACATCTCTAATTATAAATTAAAAGATATTGAACGTTTAAACATAATTAATTTTATATCCTAACATATATAATGTATCAAAAAATTGGGATAATGATTAAAATAATATATTTAAAAAAATTATCAAAATAATTCACTTCGAACATTATTTCCTATACTAGAATAATTTTTACAATACTTTCAGAATACTCTAGGAGTACATGGAGTCTTCAGTTGAAGACTCCAAAACTGCTATGCTTTTTCAACTCTGAAAAAGTTAAAGACACATGAAAATTCATACATCTTCCACCAAAAAAATTAAAGTCACACAATAATTTTGACGTGATATTCTTGATACTATAGCAATGATCCTAGATCAAAAAATAATATAGTTAGAGTTTATCGGGAAATTTTTTCCCACTGTTCTACGTGAGCAAAGAAGCCATCAAAAATTATATAAAAGATAATGTCATTCAAGATTAATTCAAGGAAAAATTATATCGTTCCCTACTCAATTATCTTTTCACTTCTATTTTGATCATTACAATTTTAAAAAAAATAATTTTATCATTAGAATTTCTAATTGCTTCTATTTTAATCACTTTTTACTCATATTTTTAGTTTTATTATGCTAACAATATTTGAAGTAGACATGTGAGAGGGTTGTCTCCAGGCTTTTTGTTTCGATACAAACGAGTACCCGAAAAGAAAACGCACAAATAATGGGATTTAGGGATTGCGGGTTGTAGACACCCGTTTTTGTCCGAGTTTACGAAAACATTTTACTTATTATTTATTATTATTTATTATTATTATTATTATTACTTATTATTTAATTAATTATTATTATTACATTTGTACAGGCCGACACAATTCAGCAGCCCAACAAATTAAACCCAGCAGCACTTAACCCATTCAACTCCAACCCCACGTATCTCAACCGTTTTTATTCGTGGGGAGTTGGTTGCACACTCACCTCACATCTTTTGTGGGGGGGGGGGGTGAGGGGAGAGATGGACACTTCCTATTTTTAGTGGATGCTTGGGTTATATAATTGGTTGGATATAACAACAAAAGGGGGGCCGCTCAGGATGAACCCATCCATGTCCAGGTGCATTTCTTTGTTTAAACCAACCATGTTGGAATTCTCACCAAAGCCATGCACACGAAAATTCTGAAAAAAAAACAGAAAACACCGATCTTTATGAAGAACAAGAAATACAGTCCCAAAAACTCTTCTCCCAATCTGTTCAATCATTTCATAGTCATCCATTTTCGACATAGTGTCAATGCCTTTCTTCTCCATGAAAACACCATTCAAAGTCTGTATTGGAGCAAAGCTAAAAGAATCTGAGGCTTTTCAATATGCTCACTAGAGACAATGCCACACCAAATTTCTATTGAGTTGAGCCAACGATTTGAGGCAGAAGAGAGAGAAGGTGAAAACAATGAAAGGAGGAGCTTCCGGGCAACCCATCCATCGTTCAAGTTCAGTGCTGGTGCTCAACGAAGATGGAAGCATAACGCAGTTGGATTCTTTAGGCGGTGTATTTCGTATGGAAACAGTGATGGCGTTGAAGATATTTCCAAAGAAAAAGTTGTTTATCGAATCTGTTTGACCGAAGGAGAAAATACCACCATCGGAATCGATCTTGGATCCACTTATTCTTGCGTTGGTGTTTGGCAACATGATCTTGTTGAGATTATCACCAACGATCAAGCCAAGAACCAGGTCGCCAAGAACCGCTCAACACCGGAGTTTTCGATTCAAATTAATGAAGGTTGACATCGTACGTGTTTTGTTTTCATATTGTTTCCATATTGTTTCGTGTTTCCGTTCGGTATTATCACGTTTGAAATCCAACAACAATCAGGTTAGCATCATGCAAATCATTGGTAGGCCCTACCTGTTTCCACTTTTCACATATATTTGGTTTTTTTTATTATTTTATTATTTTTTCCTTTTTTACTAATCTTTATATTTATCATATATTGTATTTATTTTTTTATTATTATTATTATATTAATATTCTTTTTCTTGTTCATATTTATTTTTATTTTACAATTAAATATTTTTTATTTTAGGGATACTTTTCAATCAATCAAGGGTAAGCAATTCCAATCGGAATTTTTTTAATTTCAATTTAAATTTTCTCAAATTTTCGCAATTAAGACAACTGAAAAATTAATTGGTACCGAAAGGGCGGTTCAAGGGTGCTAATCCTTCCTTGACTGTAACCGACTCCTGAGCCCGACATATTTCTGGTAAAACGCATATCAGGTAAGATGGTGTCCGACCCACCTAAATTCGTTTTAAAATGGTCGGTGGCGACTCCTAATCTACTTTCCAATTCGTTTAATCTAAGTCGAAGCCCAATTTCGGGCCAACCGAAAGACGGTCGCGACACGGGTAGGGGTGAGATTAAAGATTTTAATTATTTTTTTATTTTAAATCTTGTTTATCATTAATATTAAAGGCTTAATGCAAAAATAAATGTTTAAATTGTACCTAATGTTAATTTTATATGTCTAAAGAATTTTTTTGTTAAAAATAGGTATTTAACGTTTTTGATGTTACACTTTTAGGTGTCTGCTGTTAAATTCGACCGTTAAGTAGCATGTTTCAGGCTTACAAAAATTTAAAATTTTATTTTAAAATTTTGAAATTTTATATGCCTGACACGTGTCACTTAACTCAAATTTAACGGTGTTAACGGTCCATGCACCTAAAAGTGTAACGTTGGAAACGTTAGACACTTATTTTTAACAGAAAATTCTTTAGGCATCTAACCTTAACTTTAAGTATAGATTGGACACTTATTTTTACATTAAGCCAATAATAAATAAATTTGTTTTGTCATAATAAAAATAGTAATAAAATAATTCATATCATCAAAGAGTAATCAAAAGCTGAATAATTCAAAATATTAATGATTAAATTAAAAAAATAAATTTTAGTGATCAAAATATGAGTGAAAATATATTTTTTGAAGAATGATGTAGTTTACCATTAACCAAAGACGGTCAGATTTCAGACCGGAGATAAATTTAAAATATTTTAAAGGAAATTTTTTTTAAAAATTTAAGAGACAAAAACATGTTATTAATAAAAATATCAAAAAATAAAAAAAAATTATGAAAATTTAAAATTTTAAAGAGAGGATCAACATCAACTACTCATCAGTGTCGTAGTGCAAAGTTGGTCCAAGTCATTTAACATGGTTGATTGGAGAGGGGCCATACCATTCCACTTCTGGCTCTTCTAGGGCTCCACTTTTGGACCTTCCATGGCCGTCCCTACACAAACTTTAAAATTTTTAATTCAACCAGGAGGGAAACAAATGGCTCAACACCCTTCTCAAGATGCATTATTATGGGTAACTTCAATTCAAATTTCCAATAACCGACCCCTTTTTTTGTTTCTCTTCCACCAATTTCCCTCCAACAATCAAACACCAAACTATAAATGTCATAATATTTTATTTTATTTTTGATGAGAATATAAAATTTTAATGTTTGGTTGACAAATATGAAATTATCTATAAATAAAATTTATCAAATTATCTTTATGATATATTTTAATACTAAATTTAAAATATGTATATGAAAACTAATAGAATTATTTTTTTGCTACATTATATATATTTATTATATTATTAATATAATTAATATATTAAACTTTTTTTTTTATAAATTGTACTTTATGTTTACGTACCATCTATGATAAACGTTTAAACTTTTTATATTTATGATATTGTTAAATAAATTATAATAAAAATTATAGATCATAAATTTAACCTATTAAAATATTTTTTTTGATAAATTTTACTTTCGATACCTAAAAGATAGAGGATAAATTTTTTTGATAAATCTTACCCGACCCGAAAATTTTACATCCTTCACCCGACTTAACCCGACCCAAAAAATATATGTCCTCCTCCCGGCTTGAAACTCATTTTTTTGAGATAAAATTTAAACTCGACCCGACCCGATCCGAAATAATAAAAAAAATATTTTTATTCAATAAAAAACAGTGATTTAATTGGAAAAATAATATATAGATTGATACTATTGTAATTATTCCTAAATATATAAGGTAAAATTATTTTTTTTGGGTCGGGTCGGGTATTTTTCACCCTAAACCCGAATTCGACCCGACCCAAACATCACCTTTAAAAAACCTGATTCAAACCCGAATTTTTTTATAAAAAAATCGGATCGGGTCAGGATCCATCGGGTTCCGATCCCATCCCCATCCCTAGACAAACTGGTACGAAACAACATAAAAACATCATGCTCTACCTATGCTCTAAGAAGCAATAACAATAACCAAGCCAAAATCAAAACAGAATCACCCAACCCCAAGAAAGAATCCCCAAGAAGCACAAAGCTACAAATTTACACAGTCAAGCCTATCAATACCCTTCCTACTAAATTGAATACCAACAACCTCCCTAATTAAGTGCAAAACAACATCAATGCAACGAGTTCGGTTTTGAAAAATCCTACAATTTCATTCAGACCAGACAAAATACAAATACACACTCCAAGCAACTCTCAAAATGCAAGCAATCAAGGATTTACCTTTAAGCATAAATAGAGCCCACCAAACTTCTTGATCCCAAGCCATGATTTGTCGAGTCAAATGGCATAACCACAAAACACCTTCCCATACCTCATTCGAAAATAAAAAAGAGAAGAAAATGTGGTCTCTTGTCTCCAAATGACCACAAAAAATACATTGGCCATCCACAGCAACACCTCGTTGCAACAATCATCCTTAGTGGAAATCCTCCCCTGTATAACAAGTCAAGCAATAATAGCATGTCTATGAATGTAAAGCAGGAACCAAATCAATCTATACCATGAAACCACCTCCCCTTTAGACCGAGCCTCATGCCATAACCAAGAAGTAGTAATCATCCCCCAATCAGTTATAGACCCAAGCAATGGGTAAGCCTCCTCTCTCAATTTGAATATCCTTCTCACGCATCAGCTGAAATGGCTCCTATCGACCGCTTGACACAACCCAACGCCCAAGAAGTAAGCGTGTATCCAAACAACCCACAAAGAGCCTTGTCCTGCCAAGATATTCCTTACAAAGAAAAAAAAGACACGCCTTGTTCCAAGTTTTCAACTCCCTCAAACGAAGTCCACCATCCGATTTAGGAGAACAAATCTACCGTCAACTAACCTTAACCCAACAGTAGAGGAATCAATCCCCTTCTAAAAGAACTGGACACAAAGTTGCTCAATGACCTTAATGACAGCCTGAGGAAAAACAAGCTACCTACACCAGTATTTGGTCACACTAAACAAGATAGCTCGGATGAGTTGCAACCGCCCTGCATAGTTGACTTTGAGATTGCACCAATGCCCCAATCTAGCTTTAATATTCGCAATGAGAGGATAACAATCTTTCTCTGTCAGTTTTCTAGTAATTAAGGGAACGCCAAGGTACCTGACTAGGAGGAGACCAATCTTAAAATTAGAAAACCGCTAAATTTCCTCCAACTTGACACCACCAACCCCACAAGCAAACAACTCACTCTTAACAATATTAAGGCGAAATATTAAAATATTTTTGTAAGATGAAAAACATCTTATAACTCACAATACAACCTTGGAAATATTATAATACAATGTTAATAAAAACACATTAAATATTAAAACACTATTTAAATATTTAGAACATTATTTAAACAATTAATTAATATAAAAATATTTAATAAATTTATATCACAAATAATTAATTATCCAGCTAAAATATAACAAAAAGTCAATAACAATCAGTTGGTCTAATGGGATAAAATATTAGATTCCTTAAGTAAGGTCAGGAGTTTGAATCCTGATATTTGGGTTGGGAGGATTACATTTGTCTCTACAGTATTCGATATAGATTAGTGGATTAATAATAAAAAAAATTGAACATATAACTGTCTTACAACTAATTGATCTATTAGGATAAAACACTAAAGAAAGATTTCAAATTCTGAAATTATGAACAAAAGAAATTAGGTTTAAAAGGTCTTTCTTATATCTGTAATATTCAATCTGAATTAATTAATTAATAATTTCGATACATGTGATTATAAAAAAATATGAAGCAACTGCGTAGTCCTCACTCCAAAAGGTAGTTCACTTTGCTTACCACATCATTTCCCGTTTCACAATATTTTTGCTTTCCAACGCCCCATTCCTTTTAAAAGGTTGAACCGTTTCAAACTCAGTCATTAAACCCAAAATTCATTGATGCAATAAAAACTCTAAAAGGAAATTCAAAATAATTGAGGGGTAATTAAATAAAGATTAAATACACTCCTCTCTAAATCAGTTACATCCCTATGCTAAAAACCTACCCACCCACCCTATAACTAACTCGGGCCTTTGAAACCGGAAACAATCAACCGGGTTCATTCCCTCACTCTATCCTCCTATTCAGTATACTGCTCTAAAATCTATCTGGTTTTTGCCTAATGCAGTAATGCTATCCAAAACTTGGCACAACTGGAGGAGCTAGACGGGGTTCGGCCTCACCCAATGTTTCCTTCTTGCGCCGCATCTCCAGCACTTTCCGGTGATGGTTCGAGTGCAACTCGCTTGAAAACGTTGGGCTACAAGCCGGTCTATACTCGGGTAAAAGCCTACCCGACTTAAACCTGACCCCACAAGCGTTACATAAGGTCTTTGCGCCCATTGGACCGGCTCTCCATTGTGGCGTCTTCGTAACTCCACAATGGCCGCACCTACGCGTCGCTTGGGTCCCATTACAACCTGTCGAGTCGGTCGACAGTCTCTTCTTATGCTTCTTAACCGGCGGATTTTCCACAGAAACCAGTTCTGACAGTTCAAAGGTTGAACCGGAACAACTGTTTGGGCAAAGCAACCAAGGTGAAGGGCTGGAGGAGGAAGATGATGACGTGGAACTCGAAGATGATTCTGTAAGAGAAGGGGAGGCGACAAGGGACCAAACTCTGTCGCCGGTTCGAGCACGCTTGCTTCTGGCTTTCGCCGGAACAGGCGTTTCAAAACAAGTCGTAATCGGTTTTTCCTGGTCAGGCAATTTGTTCACGAGCAACGTTCCGGTGGGGTAAGCCGTAGAGTGCTCTGAGAAGGAATCCTCAACGAAATGAGACAACCATTCAAGGTTCTCAACGTCATCCGCCTGTAAAAATGTCAACATTTTGTTCAGTTTTCGCCATTAACAACCGCTCCTCCTTAAAAACACAACAAAAAGCAAAAAAAAAATTCTTAAAAGAAAAGTGTCGTTCGTTTTTCAAGTACCGGGACAGCCAGTTCGTTGGCGGATAAGGAAGTGTAATCGAGATTAGTAGTTCTGTCGTTGGAAAAGATTGTGCCTTGGCTTAGCTTTTGTCTCTTAGGCGAAGAAGAAGAAGCCCGTACTCGTTCTTCTTCTTCTTCTTCTTCTTCTTCTTCTTCTTCATGTTCACGTTGTTGTTGTTGTTGAAGGAAACCCTCTTCATTACTGAAGTCAAAGAGGTCGTCAACGGAGAAGTCATCGGAAGAAACAACAGTTTGTCCATTAACAACCCAAATATCATCCAAAAACGCTTGGGGGCTTGAAATCATAGCCATCTCCTTTCTAAAGCTGCTCTTCAAGGCTACCTCAACGCATTCCATTTCCTAAAACAAACACAAGAAAGGAAAAATAACTGAGAACCTTGAAAAAAAAAACAAAAGGCAAAGATTTTCTAAAATGGAGCACCTGGGAGGAGAAGGGGATGTTAGAGAGAGACAGGGTTGGAGAAGGAAAGTAAAGGAGAAGAGGGAATTATAAGAAAAATAAATAAAAGGGGGGCGGTGATGAGTTTGGTGAAGCTCTCTCTTTAATTTATTTTACTTTTCTCCCTTTCTATTGTTTCTTCTACATCTAAAAACAAAAACAAAAAGAGTTATTGTATTCCTATTTATTTATTCGTTAAACTTTCTTGTATTTATATATTAAACGTCATAAATTAAGATAATAAATAAATAAAATGACTGAATTTAAGAGGATTGCCCTTAAAGAATCGGACTTTTCACTTTCTTGGAACCGTCAGTTTCAGATTCTCGGTTTTTAGTTTTATTTTTAATTTTTTTAAGAAAAAAAATGGGAGAGGGGTTGTCCGGTCCAACGAAAACCAAGATTATGAAGATTTAGGAAAACCGCCACCTTTTTGTTCCTTTATTCTTAATTTTTACTTTTCTTTTTTCTTCTTCGATAAGAGAAATTGGTTTGGCCCCTCTCTTTTGACCTACCTATGTTATTTGCTACCCGCGTTGATCGCCGCTCGTCTTGGTTGTTTAATTCTCCGCTTCACTTCCTTTTCTTTTTGTCCTTATAATATTTATTCCTCACTTTCTTTCTATTTATTTTATTACACGATTATTTCCGAAAAGACTGAAAATCAAAATAGAGAAAAATTTAAGGAACGACAGTGTAAACACCTATTTTTTTTGTCAGGGTTAAAAAATATTATCAAATTATTATTATTATTATTATTATTATTATTATTATTATTATTATTATTATTATTATTATTAAGTGTGTTTATATTTTTGTGCAGGCCAAATGTGGTCCAATTATAAGCAACCCAACAGACCCATATCAATAACAGTACCAAGCCTCTCCACCGACTAGTCACTAAGGCTAGTCACCTCTGAGCAAGTTGAAACATCATCATCACCATGTCGGCCACTGAACAGCAAAAACAAACAATATCAGCAAAGTCAAAAGTATATCACCTAAATCATACCTAACTTGTCAATATCCTACCAAAAACGAAGAAAACGCAGATGCATCCATGAAGATTAGGTGGAGATATCAACCATAAAATAGGCAGAGGATTAGAGGAACGGGGGAAGAAAAAAAATTATCAGAGGGGAAGCGAGAGACAAAGAAAAAACGAGAAATTTTTACCAACGATAGAACGATTGAGGGGTCTTGGTTTTCAACAGAAAAGTAAAGGAGACAAGGAGAATTTTCATTCACCCTTCGAGAATCCAACAGAAAACCATTGTAGTAAGAATCTCACTTTTGTATTAAAAAAATCGAAAGTAATAAAAATACAATTTGGGTTCAAGGTATTTGTTTTTTTTATTGTTTTCATTTTCCCGTTTTCTCTGTGTGCATGTGTGTTTCAAAATAAAAAAAAGCAATTAAAAAAGAGAGGAAGGAGATTTTACTTATCGTTGAGTTGTTCTTTGTTGGAGTAGAGAAAGTGTCGGTAAGACCCTTGCATGTTTGTTTTAAGGTCCGATTTGGAGTTAAAGAGGTAGAAAGATTTTAATAGTGTTGAAGGAAATAGTTGGCGGTTCAAGTTGCCCAAAACTGGAAAATCGAAAGGTAAGATGGTTCCATCTCATACATTCGGGATTTGATCGCTATAATTTAATGACTGAGGTTAGTATTGTTAAACTAAGTCTGAAATTAAACAACAAGTAGTAAAATAATATAAAAAGAAGATGAGTTAGATTGTTTACCTTTCGATCCAGTTTCCTCGTCGAAGCTGTCAATGGGTATGTAGTATTGAGTCACGGTAGTTACGGGTTCTTAGAGGAGGTTCAGTGGAGTAAAGAAATTAGAGAAAGAGGAGGGTCGTTCTAGGTTTAGGGTAGTTTGTAGCCTTCACTGTTCCAAGCAGCCGGTCTTGTTTGTGGTTGTTCTTTGGGGGGTTGATGGTCGAATGAGAAGTAGAAGAGATGGAGAGTTGTTGTTTGAGTCTTCAGGAGTTTTGGATTTGGTTGGTCGGAGTGAAGAGTGATTGTAGTTGAGTGAAGAATTTTCACTGAATTGGTGGCCAGAGATGGTTGTTTCCCTTTGTTAAGTTCTCGACGGCGCTGTGAACAAATGAAGAAGAAGAGAGTAACTAAGAAAGGGGGCGAGAAAGGAGAGTATTCTCTCCTTTGATTTAATCCAACAGACTGTGGATTTTAGAAAATAGGAAATAGGGTTGCAAAATAACCCTTAAATGGGTTATAATTAATGCATGAAGTGGTGTCACATGGTGGGGTTTAGGTTCAGTGCATATGCCACTAATTTATAATATTTGCTTTAAAACAATCGGTTATAAATCAAGTGGCAGACCAACCAAAGTGGATTTGACTACTAATGTCCTTAATTAGACTTTAATCCCACTATCAGTCTTAGTCCAAAATATGCATTCTTACTTCCATAAATTTGTCTTAATATTTTGTAAATTAAGTATTTCACTTAATCACATTTATAACATTAAATTTTAAATTAACTCAGGGTCCCCAAACTATTGTAACACTTATATTCTGGTAACTAATGAATTTTCAGTTCATTTTATTTTGAGCTCTTTATTTATTTATATTCCATTTTAGTCCTGAATTTCTTATTAAATATGTTTATGTTTATATTTATACATAGGTCATCGTATTTTAACTTAATTGTGATTAAGCAACTTAGGTTGTTATTGTTTCATTTTAGTAATCTTATTCATGTTGTTTTATATTTTTTCTATATTTCTATTTTAAGCATGACATTTTACATTTGTTATACTTTTGGTCCAACATATTTTTTAGGATTTATTGCTGCTTTAGTACTCATGTTATATAATGTTTACATATTAGCTACTATTTTATGTTTGTCACTTATTATGTCCTTAAAGCTTTTGTTTTTCTCTATTTTGGTTTTTATAAATTTAAATACATATTTTTACTATTTGTATTTAGGTTTGTAATATTCATTTGTTTTATTTCATTCTTTTTAATTTCCTCTTTTTAAATAATTAATTTGAAGTAAAATAATTAAATTTCAATAAATGGATCATATTTTAACTTGATATTTGATTCAGGATTTCCACCATTACAACAACGTGTAAGTGAAACAGTACCAATTTTGGGCGTTGTGGGGGTGCTAATCCATCCCCACGCGTAACCGATTCCCGAACCCATTTTAATCAAATCTTTGGTAAATGCATACCAACTTTTGTCTTAAAAGATGATTTTTTCTTAAAATTGTTTTTAAAAGACGTTTTTAGGTATTCGACCTACCTAACCCAAAGGTTGATGGTGACTCTTTTTAATTCTTTTCAATTTATTTCAAATTACTCCAAAATCACCCATTTTCCAAAATTAAAAGTCGTAACTATTTTTAAAACAATCAAACGATTGTCCTGCCGGAAAACGGTTACGACAGCTTGACGACTCTGCTGGGGATCAGAATTTTTTAGAGAGTCAGTCTGTAAGTCACTTACACATTGTCGTTTGGTAGAAATTATGAGTTTGAGTCTTTAGTTAACTTATGATCCTTTTATTGAAGTTTTTAATTGCTTCATTTTATTATTGTATTACTAACATTTTTATCTTTGTTTTCAGATTTGTCCAAAGTTTTGTCGAATGGTGTCATTTTCCTTTTGAGTCAAAGGGTTGAATGTTCCTCCTCACACACGTCACGAGCATTTGCATAACATAAGCTCTATACCCGAGCTTCGAACCTTTCTAAGTGGGGGCGAAAGTGACGCCTTCGTGAGAATTTATTCTCCGTGCAGGCCTAGCAATTAACCTTCGGGATTCATATACCTTATGTTTTCGTGAGAATTTATTCTTCGCATAGACATAAGGGAATGTATCCTCTCGAATTGAACTCAATCCGTTTAAGCCTATAATGGGTGAGGATTGAGGGTTTGGCAGCCCAAGGGGGCACTAACATCAAGGACAATTCGAGTACCTTTTTCTGTTAGAAACGCAACCACGCATATAGTGAACCGTAGAACGATCACCTGAGGTATAGATATATTGAACCTATGTCTGTCAGTAGGTACCCAAAATAGGTGTACAAAAAGGAGGAGCGTTTCTGAACCTTTTCTTTTTTACTTTAAATATTGTTTAATAACAGCATGCGAACTATATACCATGTGGTTAGGATTAATTTATTGAAAAATCATTGTGGGTATATAACATGTTTGGGTAGATATCATGACGGGGTAGGTGTTATATTCATCTTTAAATGACATTTTTATTTGTATCAATTTTCTTACTTGTGCTAATTCATTTTCATTTTTTATGTTTTTTTGTTATTTGCATTGCATCATTCAAGATTAAGGGTGTTGATCTTCAGTTAATCGTCAATTTGGAAAGCTTTCAATAATGGATGAAAAGTATTTAAATCAAGTAGTTCAAAACTCTTAGGTACGACAGTGGGCTGAAGCATTGCAAAGATTGGAAGGGGACAGTTTGCCAGCTGATCACATATCAGATTTAGTGGGTTATGCTTCTGTTTCTCTTAAAAGAAATGACATCCAGGACTTATGATACATTTGGGAAAAATGGGAGTCGAGTAAGAAGAGGCAGTTTTACCAGTGTTATGGGGATATTTCCTATCTGCTATATGTTGATATAGATGATGAGTTGATCCGAGCCTTGATTCAATTTTGGAATCCAGGGTACAATTGTTTCACTTTCAATAAAGAAGACATGGTTCCTACCATCGAAGAATATATTGCCTTGTTGCGCATAGAGGATGCTCAAGAGAATCGGATTTATTCCAAGTCCATCAAAACTCAACCCTTCAGAATCAAATTAGCCAAAATCACAGGAATGCGTGAGGAATGGGTGGTTGCTCGTACCAAACAAAAAGGTGAAAGTGAAGGCATTTCTTGGATTGCTATTAAAGGAATCATTCAAAGTCATCCTGACGAGAAGATACGATTTGACCTCTTTGCACTGGGTATTTATGGCTTAGTCATTTTCCCGAAGGCCTTGGGATTTATTGAGGCTGCAGTTGTGGATTTATTAGAGCAATTACAAAAAAGGGTCAACCCTGCTCCTATAATTTTAGCAGAGACTTTTCGATCCTTGAATGCTTGTCGAAGGCTTGGAGGTGGTCGATTTTCAGGATGCGCGCAATTACTATA